GAGAACCTTGAGTTCTAGGCATGTTGTAGCACAAGATAATTAGCGTGCGGACTATTTGCATTTATACTGTGCCCTGTGAACACAAATTAGTTAGCATAAATCAGTTAAATGACGAAAAATTAGGTGTCTATTTACTTGTGACCATTCACTGTAGATGCACTTCATTTCCAAAACTTACCTTGTACGTTTTATTGTGGGCAATGATTTTTTGTTTTGAGTTTTTTGTAAACATGATTTTAATCCTTCAGTCTGCGCTGCAAAGTTTAAAAACCGATACATTTAATTTCTTTTTTTTTTTCGACATCAAGTTCATTATATTGGCTATAGGTAACGCTGCCGTTGCCAAGAAACAAATGTCAAATGAAATGTGATTTGTGGTAGGATTGAACTTTGAGTTTGAAGATAGACAATATTTTAAATATTTTGGAAACGTTAACACTTATTTATATCCAAAACACTATAAGGTATCTATCGAAATAATAAGACTTATCTTAACAGCTTATTTTTAAATCAATTTTAGAATTTAAATTAATACATTAAACTTGTAACAGTGTAAGTGTAACATCGCAGTTTACGGTAGTTACGAAGTAAGTAAGTTGGGCCTAATTTAGTGTTAAACATGAAGTTAAACATCATTACTTATTAGACTAGTACCACTACTAGTAGTAATACTGTTGTTATTAATAATATTATTGTTTCTAATAGTAATACTAGTAATAGAAATACAACCATAGTCTTAGGGCGTTAGGTTAAAACAGCCTGGTTTCTTAAATTCATTTTAGTGGGTGCATAATGGTTCATAATATGTTTTTTTTTGTTGCATTTAACATATCAGTTATGCTTTTCAAATTTATTGATAATGGAAACTGAGTTTCATTCATGGTATATCCTTACTTGAACGGACCATGTGGGCCTTTGAATTTGATGTCTGTTTCATCATATGGTTAAAGACATAGCCAGTTTTAAGTTGTTTTTTTTAAGGCTCTGGATTATAAAAAAGGACATTTATAAAAACAGATACAGTACCTACAGTTTTTGGTTATAAGTGATGCTGAAATTCTAGAGGTTTGCATTCTTCTTTTGAATTGAGTTAGTTTAAAATTAAACTAAAAATTTCATATGTATTAATATCAGGTGCTTTTTATAGTACTTTCAAATAAGTTTTTCTCTCTTTTTCAGTCTGTCCTGTATGTTAGGCAAAAACTTGAACTTAATAGGCAGTTATATTATTAAGAGAGGCAAAATATTGATGGATGACAAATGGGCAATATGAAATTAGTTTCAGAACTACTATAAATGTTTGGTGAGATATCCTTCATGCATAGTATACCCCATGAGCATCTTGTGTATTAAAAAAAGACTCATACTTCCCTTGACACTGCTTGGCTTTTTTTTCATTTTGAATTACAGAATTTTTATGCTTATTGCCTTAAACTTTTAGTTCCCATTTTAAGTGTAGTCTTTCTTTCCTTTATTTTTGATTTCAAGAAAGAAATATACAAAATTTTAAATGTTTCAATGAGAACTTTTTATTTTAATTTTAGATTAATTTTATTTATTCAAGTTATCAAATTTGAGATTTTGGGACAAATGTTCCAAAGTCTGTGGTATGATTCTTTTATAGCACTATTCCCATCCTTAGTAATTCAGTGTCTGAGTTTTGATAGTTAATCTCAAATTTTCACACTATAACAGTGAACAAAGCCTACATAACTTGGACAAATTAGACCTCTTTTAAAGAGAAAAAAGATTTCATAGATTAGATCGACTATGAATTTTCATATCAGTGTTTCTTAAACTTACTAAAGTGCTGACACTCCATAGCATACTTCATCTTTTATTGTTTCAGTGGTGACTGAAGTCACTCTGGCAGCTAGTGATGTTTCTACCATTGGGCACCAGGTGTTTGATTACAGTATAATCTTGGATCCAGTATTTTTAACTATCTACTGAGCATGCCTCATTTTTTGATGATTTTGTCCTACTGTTCCCTTCACCTAATTTTGCTTTGGTTCTTTCCTTCCAAATAATGAACAGGTAACCTAATATTCATCCTTTGCTGCTATGCTTGATCCAGGGGATCCCAACATATTTCTTGGGAGCTTTGAAGGATTGCCCTCTCTCCTGCTCCTCATCTTCTGGATACTTTCCAGTGTCTTCTCCCTCAGAGCATTGGGCATCAAGTATCACAGAGATGACTTGTGTCTGGAGCCAACTCACAGATTTATTGCAGTGGAAGCTCAGGTCTCCCATTTTGCGCACCTGTGGACTCCATTTACAGAAAAGCTTTTGGTAACACAGATATTTTCCCTAATGCTTCCCCTGTCTTTCTCCACCCATGGACTCTATTTACAGAAAAACCTTTGGGTAACATAGATATTTTTTTCTAAGGCTTCCTCTGTCTTTCCACACTCAATCTCCTTTTTCCACTCCCTCAGATCCCTTACATTTCAAAACTTGAAGGAGGCTGTTTCTTTTCTCCTGGTTATGAACACCATGGACCAGGTCCTCGACTACACTCTAAGGTTTAAATCCTGTCTTTTGTTGTTCTCATGATAATATCAATTATTATCACTTTAGGTAATTTTATTCTTAAAGGGAGCCTCCTTTTCAACTGATTTGAGGAGCAGGCTCAGCCTTAACCTTTACATCTGTGAGACATGGAGCTTCTGGTAACCAGTGCTCTTATGTACTTTTCTCTTCTTGTGCAAGAGGTTCTGTCTTATTTTAGGACTATAACTCTCCAGTACCTTGTTCCACTTTGATGTGCCCATATGCTTCTCCATCATTGCGTTTTGGCTGATCACTGGAGCATGTTCAGATATCGACTGTCTTCTCATATGTTTCCCTCATGTGTGACTTCACTTCTCATTGTCATAGTAGCCAAACTGGTCCCACATAACTCTTCCCCCACCTCACGTGGACTTGCATCTGTTCATAGATGCCTTTTTGTCCAGGTGGAGTGTCTTTCTGGACTCCTGCATACTTTCTAGGTATGATATCCAGAGATGTGGTCTCTCCATAATACTGTCCTTGAGATGTTGGCTACTTGAGCTTGTCATCCTCATCTGTCTGGCCATTTTGTTATGATCCATCTAGACAACACTGTAATCTCTTCCATGAACCGACAAAGAGACACTTGTTCTTTGTACCTTTGCATTCTGATTCTGTTTAATTCTCAAAGCTCACATGTGTCCCTTATTGAAACCTTTGGCCACCTGTTCCCTGTATCATCTTTCTCTAAAGATGTATCTTCTTTTCCTTCTCATTTGTGGGAGACATTGCTCTGAAGTTTTGGCTTTGATGCCTCCTACATTATTTACTCTAGGAACAAATTGATTTAATTCCAGACCACTCATTCTTTTCCAAAAGTTGGGCTGCCCAGGAGAGTGATCAGAGTTTTTTTTTACCATCACTGTATCTTCCATTTTTTTCTCTATACAATTGTTCTGACACCTGGCCATCTCCTTTGTCCTTCTGAGGCATCTTGTTATTTCACTCACATTGCTTCTTCCTTTTGTGACAGTGAACATCATCTTTTCTTGCTGTGTGATCTCTCTTCCTCTGAAATTTATCTTATTCCACTTTGTCCAGTTTGGTTTATTAACTCATCTGGCTAATTTTTCTTTTATGGCTGTTAATGTTTTTCATATTTTTCAATTCATCTCCCATCAATTTCACCATCTTACTGGTTTTTACCTATAGCCATTGATGTATCCTAGATTTGATCTCATACTTTATAGGCATGGATATGGAGGGCCATCGACATGTTTGTTTCACATTCCTTATATGATATTGCAGTTTTATCTTCCTCTGATTTTCATCTCCCTCTTGTTTCCATTCTCCATTGTTCACAAAGGCTTTAAGGGGGTGACTTGTTAATTTTTTTCCTTTTGCAGCCTACTCCAACACTCACCTTAACCTTATTTTTGTACATATCTCTTGAAATCTTCTTTGATTTGGGGGTAACGGACAGTGTAAAGCCCATAGGTTCCTTCTCAGTGTGTTCACTGTTGAGATAGGGTTTCTGCAAGACTGCTTCATCAATGTTTATATTTTATTTTTCAAACCATATTGATTCTTGAAAAAACAAAACAACAGCATGAGCTGTGATTCTGCTCTCACATCTGGCTAGAGCCTGCTGTCTTTACTTGTGGCAACCCACAGCTCAGTCTTATCAGTGTGGAACCTTATGCAGATGTGATGATTTCTGTTTGGTTCAAGCATCCCTCCAGCATTCTTCCCTATACAAGTTTTTTCCATTCATTTCCATCTTTGGAGTAAAGATGCTTCCCTCCATACCAAGCTGCTCGGGAGGTTTATATGGAGCCCTTCAGGTTAGTGTAATCTCACTAATATGAGGCTGAGTGGAAATAAGACTGGGATATTTACTTGGAAGTGTAGTACAGGCTACCGTGTATACTAAGAACCAAACCATTCTGAGCTATAAGACAGTAAAATTTATGTTGCAGGTCCAACTTATTATGATATCAGTTAGGTAACTAACAAAATATTCTCTATACAGAAAAAAGGTCCAGTTCAAACATTAGAAATTGAAGTGAAATAATGTAAATGAATAAATAGTAAATGCAGTCTTAAAGTAAAAAATATGTAAATAAATTACTTATATATAATCTAATGGAAAGCTTCCAAGGTACCCACTAGACTTTTAAAATTAGTCTTTATGTAAAATGTGTAGCTTTCTAGTAATTACACTTTATATATTTGCACTCAAAAGCAAGAATTTTAAAACATTAGAATTGAGTTTGTTTTTTTAGTATCACCGATGTGCATGTGTATCCTTGTTTAATTATCAATTTAACAGAACTATTATACTATGTAAAGTGATTTGATATCATTCTATGGTGAACAAAGCTTGAGTACACATTTAATCATTTTTCAATTTCAAGAAAATGATTCTTAAGTTTTTAGGAAAAAATGTTTTAAATGCCACAGTGTATTTCAGTACTAGAAGTACATTAAGTGAAAAACTTAAGTGTACGTTATTTAGATATTAAATGATTACCTTTAAACTCAGAACCAGTTTTGCTTCACTTATGAAAACTTGTCATGTTGCTAACAGGTTTTTATGTACTTTGATGTAAAAATCAATAACCAATTTTTTGTGGCAACAAATATGTTAGAACATTTTAAAGAATTATTTCCAAGTTTGGTGAAATGAGGGAAGTTAACATAAATTGTACCTCATATATACCAATTTTATATTCTGCAGAAGATGACAAAAAAGGGGAAGAACATATGTGTTGGAGAAGAGTTGCGTATTGCGGTAACTTTAACATTGAAGAAGTTCAGGATGAATGAAGATCAGAAAGGTGAGGTGTAACAGCGAGTATGTACATCCTTGTCTGTAGGAGAATGTCAGGTTCACTTCCTGTTCTTTGTTTAAACATATATATATATATATATATATATAAACCCTGCTACAAAACATTTCATTCTGTATCTGATGATCCCTTTACTGACGAAACCATGGTCGTAATAAATGATGAATTTGTGAAACATACATTTGTCTTGTTTTTCCTCAATTCTATAGAAAGGTAAAATTTATGAGATGTTCATGCAGGCATGACCTTACTTCATATGGTAGTTATACATTTTACAAGATTGTCTCACAATGTCATTTTATTATTTGCTCCTGGTGGCACTCATGAGCATGTCACAGATAGCCTGTTGTGTAGCTTTGTGCTTAACAATAAGCAATTCTTTGTTATATGGGAAACCAGCAGAGATATGCTTTAGTCACGTGTCATTCATGCTATATTTCCATTACTTTCAGGATAACATAGTGACATGGGTAATGAATGCTCTTTGGGAACTTTATTTTTTTTAGGTATGTAATGGTTAATTTTCTCAGGCTAGCTTCCCAATTAATTTGGACCATCTGAGGTGCACAAATCTCTCTACAATCTAGAAAAATTTCATTTCTAATAATAAAAACATTATTGGCCATATTTAATTAATTATCTTAAAACTTTTGTAATAGTTTTGGGATAAAGTTTTGGTAGCTCACTGGGAGTAACTAAAGTTTTAGTGAATAGTTTTTCACTGATATATGTTGTTGGAAGTGTGCGATTATATTGAACACAGAAATGTAACATAGATTTTTTTCGTAACTTGTGTAGAGTTGGAATTCCCGTCATCTTTAACCAATGTTGAACGGGCTTTCATTCACATGTATTGTCAAAGTCTCGGCTTGAAGTCCAAGAGCAGAGGGTGAGTAATTGTTAATTAGTCTATTTTCAATTTTTGTAAACAATTTGTACATTGTTAGTGAATATGATATATCACAAGAGTCAAGACACTACCACGTCCTGGTTTTTTAACAATTGTAATATAAAAATAAGTTCTAATCCCATAAAGTATAATTATCTTTAAATAATAACAAAAGTAATCAATTTTTTATTTAACAACAACACATTCTTAAAATATTTAGTCACGAGTGTCACATAAGAGACTGTGAGGTGAGAGTGTGTACAAAATTTAAAGAGGAACAAATTTGATACAAATTTTATGTATATTCTTTGAAATGAAATCCATTCTTCTACCTAAAACAAGGCTCTAAAATTTTAGGCTTTTTCCTTTTTCAGTATTTTAATGGTACTGTATGTATTACATATTAAATATTTGATCCATCATGGCTGATGCTGATATTGATGTTTTATTAGACTACTTTCAGTTTTAACCTCCCCCCCCCCCAAAAAAAAAGAAGAAAAAAAAGAAAACGAAAAGAGAGTGTTCTATGTCTAGTTACATATGAATTGAATTGGCTGCCATAAGATTAGTTTCACATGATTGATTGAATATCTTACAATTAACAGTTCCAGAATAACTGGTGAAAGGATTGCATTATTTATTCTTGTTTATTGTGTGTGTGTATGTAACATATAAAACCTTTATTTTTATCCACTGTGCTAGCTGCAACTTTTTTCTGGGTTTTCAAGGATTTCAGAACTGAATTAATAGTTTATCGACAGTGTCTGGCACATTAGTTTTTTTTTTTATTGCATAGCGTCAAGAGTTTTTAAGAGTGGCATTACTGATAGACAAGTGTAAGCCATACTTGTGCTATTGATAACCAGATCTGGATTATTTATTTTCTTCATTACATACCGTCAACAGTTGTGAAGACTGGCATTATTAATAACCAGTGCAAGCTATATTATTACTTGTGATAGCCAAATCTAATATATTCTTATTGCAGACTTTTAATATTCAGATGCATTGTTATTGACAGGATCAAGTATTCACAAAGAAAATATTTTGGAAATGTTTAATATTTTAAACATGGACAGCAAAGAAAACACAAACTTATAAAGATGAACAAAGTATTTTTAAAAGTAAAATTCTAAAACCTTTTCACTGGGCTGGCTGGCTTCTGTTTCAGTATGTGACATCTGGTTGCTGTAGTGAAGAGAGTTTCTTCTCCAGACAAAGACAGGATCAAAACAAGAGCTATGGTAAGAGAGAGAAAGAATCATGGAGATATCCCACTTTTATGTTAGACCGAGGTTCAAGTGCAGTATCTCAAAAGTATTCAGATTACCTAAGTCAATGACTGTTCTAAATATCACATTCAAGGGATAGTTTGTATATGTGTCATCCATAAAATGGACTTACACTGACCCATGGAGTAGACACAGAATCAAGCTGGTACAAGATTATATGGGATAACCATTGTAGTATGTAACCTTTAGACAACCTGTTTTACCCAGAAAATACTAATTACATGCAAAGCATCTGCATGGAAGTTTAGAAAAATTACCCAAATAAAAATATATTCTACACTAGTTAGGTAAAATATGATTATTTTAATATCATCACATTGTCAGTAGTTCTGAAAGTTGGCATTATTAACAAGTAAGTACAGGCTATGCTTTTGCTTGCCTGATCTGTTATTTTTAATTACATTATTGCAAACTGTCAGAGGCTGGCATCATTAAAAAAGTACAAGCTATGTTTGTGCTGTTGATAGCCAAATTTGGTCACTGGTTACTCTGAATGTTTTCTGGGTTATTTCATAGTCGTCAGTAACTAAACTTATCTCCTAATAAATATTTATAGCATTGTGGTTTTCTTGTGATTAACTATTCTGTTCTGTATCATTATTTAGATTATTGTACTTTAAATACTACAAGCTTTGAGTGACAATCAAGGAAGCTATGTGAATGTGACAGACAGTGTTCCCTTTAGGCTGCACAACAGCCAATCAAGTGCCGCACACTTCATTATTCCAGCTATGCACATTCTAAGTAATGGTGAGGAGTCACAAGATGTTGATGGCCTTAATGACCGTGGCAGTCGATAGGTCTAAAGCCCAAATAACCAACTAGTAACACTGCAAAGTGGCCAAAAGATCCAATAGGGTCGATGGTCTAAAAATACCCCCTCCCCTAAAGAAAAAAACTTGTAGTGCTCATCTGCACATTGCCTTGATACTGGTGCACATGGAAACATTTATTCTGCACATGGATTGAAAAAATTGGAAGGATTATTGGTGACAGAATATGTAATGAGTTGACCATGTTCACTATCCTGTTCAAACTGCTTCTATTAACCCTTTTGAGATGGGTCACATGTGAAAGGCCATGTTATCTCGTTTGTTGACTCACATTCAAAATTTTGTTGAATTACTATTTCATGGATTTATGTCAATAATATTGGTATCAAACTGAAGATTATAATTCAAATTTTAGTATATACATAACTCAATTTCTTAATTTAAAAGCAAATATTAAAAAAATACAGATAAACATCGATTTTTGTGTGTCACGTG